ATTGAGTCAGACGACGAGGATTAAACTTTGAAGAAGACTATTTTTGCAGCGACAAGATTTTAGAACTGCTTGAACATTTGCACGAATGAAGTTTTTGCGCTCCAATGGGTTTTTTGTAAAGTGACATCTGCCATTTTGTTTTGTTGACATGGCAAGTACATGTAAACGCGTTTCCGGTTCCGCTTTTTACGAACCAGCCTTTTGGACCAATAAATTCCAATAAATGCAGATTTAAAAAAAATGAGTGATTTCAAAATGGATGTAATAAAGTGGTAATTGAACTTCGTGTCGTGCAATTTTGGTCTGAAATCATACTTGTGATTTCAAATCGAACTCGCGCTGCGCGCTCGTTCGATTTCGAAATCACGCGTATGATTTCAGACCAAATTGCACTCCACTCAGTTCAATTACCATTATTAATATTACCTGATTTCAAAGGAGAAGTTTGTCATGCGATTGATAATGCAAATGTTTGCAATCCGTTGTGAAGCAAGACAAACTGATATAATATAAAATCATAATTCCTGAACTTCTCCTTGCATTTCTGGGTGTTAAGAGTCTATGACTGTTGTAATAACACTTTTGTTCATCTGGATCAGCTGGATGAAGAATCGTGAAGGGGTGAACAGGGATTTAGTAGATGACACCGTTGATATTAGCCTGGATACGGCTGGCGTACCGGAAAGGTCACGCTACTTGCTATTTTCTTTGAATAACTAAAATGTGTTTTGAATCAATTAAATTATTAAAATAAAGGTTCTTTTTCTTTTGTTATTTAAGACTATATTTATGCAATGAAACTCATTCCTATCGTTTGATACTACGGATGGCAAGGATGGGCATGGATTCAGAAACCTGGAAAAGTTGGGCCACCTTTTTCAAGTTTTAATGCCGTAATACCTACAAAAGAAAACACCAAACAATATTATGGTTTGTATTCCCTGGTGAGATTTGTTTAATATCTTCTCCGTAACTCTACAGGAGAATTTTGTGTATGGGTAAAGGCGCTAAGTACCTCAGCACAGAATAATGGCCTAAAAAGAGCAATCATGATCCTCATCCGTAGCCCCTTAATTCGACATCTTTTTATTGCCTCGTTAAGCAAGGTGTATTCTTCAAACCAACCGCTCAAGTTCTTAAATGGCTCCGTGGTACCCTATGTATATCATAAACTAAGAGATCTTAGGCCTGGTTCAGACGCCGAACTTTTCATAAGCCGAACCTAATTCGAATAAAGGCCGACCCAATTTATTTAGACTGGCTGAATGGATTTAGACGCCGATTTTAATTTCAGCCGAACTAAATTAAAAAGGAGAAAAACATTCATTTCGGTCAAACTACTTACAAAATACGTTATAATAATTTATGCATTAGGTTGGGTACATGAAAAGTTCGGCGTCTGAACCGGGCCTTAAATGCAGTCTTCAAATAGGGTGGAAAAAGCCCTTTAATTAACAACACAGAGAAAAAAGCAGGACGTGTTACGATAGTTTAGACTTTTGATTTCATTTACCAAGTCTGTGTTCGTAGGGTCAATGGGGTAAATAGGTATTGGCTTTCTTACTTGTTTAGGCAGAATGCCGAGTTAGTTATGTCTGTCTGACGATCGGTATTTGCTCAAAAGTTCTAACTAGTTGTCGTGACTGCTATATGCGTGACAACTTTATGCATTAATTAAGTGTGCATTCAGCTTAGAAACTCGATTTGACAAACCCGTACCCTTTTCAACTCTGGGCCTTACCTAACTGAATCAGATTACCTAGGCAAATATTGAGTTACACTACAGCGGTTTATGTAGTACTTAACTGCTTCATTTTTAGCATTTTTATATGATCAAACATTAAGCTAAGGCCTTAAAATGTTGACCTTGACCAACTGATAACAGAAGGTTGAAATTATTGTTTCCTTTCTTTGTACGAATGAGTTATTTTCCACTTTGGTCGAGTCGTAGTGATAAAAGGAAAAACAAAGCACAACAATTTATGTCTCAAGGCATCCAGAAAAGAAAGAAATGTAACTTGAAAAGAAGTTTACTACCGTGGTTTACTTAAAATAACCTCAAATGTCTGTCAAAAGTAGAAGTCATAAAATCATCATTAAAAATAACATCTTCAGTGTTAGCAAGAGAGAATATTTTGATACTAAACTGGCAGTTTAGTGGGTTCTTAAGAGCCTTTTATACTACGTTTGCACAGCTGTTTTGCTCCATTGTATTGGCCCTTTTTTGTGATATGACGTATTGAATCTACTTTTATTGAAGCTTATTATTTATCGCATCTTGTGAGTTCCGGGAACCATGGTGGCGTTTTCCGAGAATTGCCTTAATTGCTCTGAGCATGCGCATGTAAATAACTTGACCAGAATGATAGAATTTGCTTCGCTTGCCAAAATATCTAGATGCAATTTTCTCTTAATTTAAGAAAGGCACAGAATTTTATTTAGTCATTCATCACTGGAAGATTCAGGCTTCAGCACAGAGAAAAAAGGTATATGAATATCGAAACTTTCAAATGTAAGTAAAATCAAAATTAGGTCTTATGAAATTGTTTCCTTATTTACTCAGTGGGTTCGTGCGTTAGCATGGCGAGTCGTCGCCAGCAAGGCAAGAAACATAATTTTGTCCCAAAGCCAAAAGAGATTACGCTGAGCATTTACATCTGGACAGATCGCTATCCAACTAAAGGAGAAAGGCGAACACTACTCGAAGACTTTAACAACCTTCTTGAAGCTCACAAATACCACGTTAAGGAAGTGGGTGAGCCTTCGGACATTGGTCTTAATGCCCGCAACATCAAAATCAGTTTAAAGACAACAGAACACCGGACGAAGTTCAAGTTTTTCAAGAAGCTCAGGGAAGACTGGTCTTCCTCAATTTGTAAACTCGGAGAGCCCTTTTGGCTAGAGTCAGCGGAAACATCCCGTGAAACGTTCAAATACAAATTTGATGATACAAGGCAAGTCCTACAAGCCTCTTTCTTCAGCTTTGGCAATTTTCTCGACCGCGGAACATACATACAGCACTGGTCCAGCGAAGAAAATGACAGCCTCATCGAAAACGGAAATATTCAAGTCGAGTTTGAGCATGATACCAAACTCCTCTCTCTTACTTATTTCAAGAACGGCGCCCCGGAAGGTTTCAAAGAGGTCCGAATTGAAATGGAATTCAGGCAGTTGGAAGATTACATTGTTGTAGACGAAAAAACTGCTCAGAGAAATGTCAAGTTTTATTTTCTGCTTCAGTGGCCGCCAAAAGTACTTCAAGGTAAAAAATAAGAAAATAATAAATAAACGATTAAAACTGCAAAGACACAGAGATCGTGGGTTTCAAGGAGTACTTATAATTTGAAACTGCACCGATGTTCAATCAAAAGCAAATGAATCAACAGTTTAAAAAAAATGCTCATAGTTTTTGTATAACCTAACCTGAGAAATACACAGCCGAAAGTTAGTGACGCCAACAATCCCCCCACCCCCTCCAGCCTGAAATGAGGTTCTGAAGAACGAGCGCAAAAGTTCCATATTGATAACGGGTCACTACCCGACGTACTTGTTTACTAAATTCAGTAATAACGGATCATTGTTTTTATAGATTTGTATATATTCCGTTAGTTTTAATTTTTTCTTTTTTTTATCATTATGAATAAGATGGTTTAATAGTTGCTTTAGTTTTAATTTTTTCCTTTTTTACTCATTGTAAAGATAATAGGATATGGTTGTAAATTTGTAAATATTTTTCAATAATGTTGTTTACATGACTGTAAAGCGCCTTGAACATAGGATAAGAGCGCTATAGAAATAAAGTTATTATTATTATTATTATTATTATTAATATCAAGGTTGTGCTTCTCATTGATTGAAAATGCACTCATCTCACTTACCTTTAACACTTTGCATGCTGTACAGCTTATTTTTATAGACCCTCTTTACTTTCTCCTTTGGCTTTTGTAACGCTCAGTACAATTGTATCACCCCTTGCTTGCTTACTTGCTTATTTCGAGCGAACTCGAACTCCATTAACTAACTTCATCCATTCCTTCCGGTTTCCCATGATGCTCTTCAGTTCAGCAATGCTCAAACCAGTATCATTTCGCAGCTGGTCTACAGATGTTGTTGCTGGTCTTCCTCTCTTTCTTGCGCCGTGGTTTGGTTCCCAGAGTAGTAGATCACTTATCACCTCATCCTTTTTTCTCCAACATTGTCCTATAAACCGCAGCCTCCTGATCATCAGTGTATCTGTAATCTTAGGAAGGTTGCCGTACAGTTGTTTGTTGGTTTTATGCTCCTTCCAGGAAACTCCAATAACTGCTATGAGCATTCTTGTGTACGTACCATCTAGTCTATTCCTCATCGTATACTAATGACATATAATTTATTAAAATCATCTTTGTTGTGCAGAGGTACAAGTCAATAACCACACCAACTATGACCGCCTTACCAGCTTCTTAGGATGCAGACGAGAGGTCCTTGGTTCCAGTTCGGTATTATGCCTCAGCTTTCAGCTTCCTGGAGGAGGTGACGAGGATGAAGTTGACTCCCCACTGGGACTCATGGCTTGTCTTTCAATCAGAGGTAAAATAATACCCTCATTTCCATGCAACTCTTGGCCTGTGACAAAGGTCTTCCCATGCGGTAGAGGAAGCTTCTTTTAAATCATGAGCGGAATGTACCTAACATGTATCCCATAAACCTATTTTATTTATTTATTTATTTTCACCGATAAATTCACAGGCGACTCGGAAGGAAAGAGTTCACTTTAGGTTCCCACAGGAGTCGAAACTTACGATATCTTATTTACTCGTTAGATGCCCCACCATTGAGATATAAAAGAGTCGTGGGAGCTAAGATCATTTAATTTTTGATAGTTTTTCCTTTAGAAATGAACAAGATCGAGTTGGAACACTCTGTTGTACAAAGGATCCGCCATCATTGTAGATCTGTAAATCGCTTTTATGCTGATTTGTGTTCCTTCTCTTATTCGCTCCGATTATCTTCTTATCGTCGTATTATAATGATTTATTCTTTCTTTCTTTCTTTCCTGTTTCTTTCTTTCTTACTCGTTGGGACCCCGGTTCCGTTTGTTTGCCCCTTATTAAGCCTGGTCCAAAAAGATTTGGGATCTTTACTTGAACCTTTCTAAATCAAATAAATAAATAAATAAATAAATAAAAAAGTCGACCTCTTCTTAGAGTCCTTTCAACTATTGTATTATTACGGCTTCTTAAAGTGAGGAAAGAAAATCTGAAACAAAAAATGGCGCGCTTATGTGGTGAAAGCCTGTGGTTCTAGACCTGAGTGATGTAATAAGTGTCATATATTTTATCTACTAGGCTTTGCTATGAAGTTTGGAGCTGTTCGTAGAAAATCTCCTCGAGGTCCCACAGAAGAACCAATGAAGCCTTCATTTTCAGACTATAAGATCACGTACGCTTTGGAATGCCTTCTGTCCAGGGGATACAAAGTACGTGATCGTATTTCACGACGTTTTTACGATCTGTTACGAAAGGCCACCGACAGATACGAATCACTTCTTGATAATAAACTTGTTTCCCCTGAAAGAGTTTGCAACGCGCTTTACAGATTGGTAAGTTTTGCGGACAATGATCGCTTCATCCCTCTTGAGCACCATTTGGAAAGTTTATTGTATGGAGAAATGAAGCATTCTACAGCATTTGAGTTCGAGCTTCCAAAGCATTACGTTTACATTCCGCGTCTCATAGTAACCCCGACCCAAGATTTCCTTGTGCTGCCAGAGTTAGTCGCAGAGAATCGAGTAATCAGAGACTACGATCATAAGCAGGCAATGAGAATTGCATTTCGAGAAGAAGACTTTTCCAAGCTTGCATCCACTTACCCAGATGGCCTTGAACAAGTGTTACAAGAGCGCGTCAGAGATCTCCTATCGCACAAAATTAAAATTGGTGGTCGAGAATTTGAGTTTTTGGCATGCTCCAACAGCCAGTTACGCGACCACGGTGCGTGGCTGTATGCAACTGACGGAGATCATACTGCCGCTCAGATTAGACAATCTCTAGGGCAATTAAATGAAATCAGATGCGTTGCGACATATGTGTCAAGAATGGGCCAGTGCTTTTCCTCCACGAAAGAGGCCGTAACTGTGAGAATTGAAGACGGGTGCAAGATCGGAATGATACCAGATATAGAAGTAGATTACCAAAATGTGTTCTTCAAGTGTTGCAACAACTGGAGATCTGGAACTTACACTTTCAGCGATGGAGTTGGAAAAATTAGCAAGGCTTTGGCCAGGAATGTAAGAGACTAAATTATTTATTGCCATGTTATTATTTTACGAAGCCAAAAATAAAATAAAAAAACTAGTAAGGAGGAGGTCATGTAATCATCCTTTCAATTTTATTCCGGCATTTTACAGTTGTGCTATGATCATGTACTGCTGACGTGGCGGGATCAGGCCTGAAATGACATGGATATCTGCATAAATTCTTCACATCATACACAGCTTCATTCAATATATAGTAGTTAAGTATTAACATCAGAAGTTAGATGATCTAACAAATCTACCAAATCTTATTGAAGCAAACGACGTAATATCATACCCCTAAGTCTTTTAACAAAGCACACACTGCTCAGAATGTGGCTGGAAAATGTTCCGAAAATGTACCGAATATGCATGTTAAAGGATCTCAAAGAACTTTTCGATCTTCTTTAAGGTGTGTTCCTATATTCTTTGTAATTTCCTGAAGATTATGGAATGTTTCCAGCAATTACTGTATTACTTCGTTTTTTCCTTTCAGGTTGCAGACAGCCTTGATCTGGACCCGATTCCATCGGCTTATCAGATTCGCTATCAAGGTTGCAAGGGGATGTTAGCAATAGATCCCAGTCTTCCAAATGGTGACGTCAAAGAGATACTGTTGTATCGAAAGAGCATGAACAAGTTTGTATCATCTCACTCTGCGCTAGAGATCTGCGAGGCAACAAAACCAAGTGAGTTGGGCAAATCTTGTTGTTAAGTTGTCTTTTTTTAAAAGTTATTTGTATGTTAATTGTTTGTTTGTTTGTTTGTTTACACTTACAATGAGTGGGAAATGCATCATATGAACTGGGGTTTAAGATGGATTTCTCTTTGCACTGCGCATCTTTTACTGCGCATAACAAGACGGCCGCCGTGAAAAAAGAGCATCCAAATTAACATTATTAAAATGAAGTAACGTCATTAGAATTTTCGGTTGCGGTTGATTCTTGCCGATATGAGACAATGTGTTGGGAATGTGCATAACGTAAGCAGTACGCGTGTTGCTGAGTTCGACTTTATCAGGGAGAACCTCGATCGATAGTGGACGTTAATCGTGTACTATCTCACTTCGATTTTCATTTAAGCACCATCTTTATCACATTTCGTCCTGCCTGTGATATGTCGATGTAAATTCTGAAAATAAAAAAACAGATTATTTGATGCCTTCTCCCCCCTTCCACATACATGCCTTTTTGAAACCCGCCCCAGTCCTCTCTCAATAATCGGAGAAAATGCATGTGGTGCGCACTTTCTGCATTTTAAGGAGAATTGGCATAAATCTATGTTCAGTTTTTTGGCAATTTTACTAAATTGTACGGATTGGGCTATCACGAGTCTAATAGCGCGTGTACAAATTAAGTCTACTTTAGAGCGTAAAGTAAAAACAAGGCCTAAAAAGGCATTTTTTTCTGGTACGTCAGTGGATAAACAATACATTTAAATCAAATTGTGCGCGGTACCACGCGCATCATCGAAAATATTTCTCCTTTTTGTCTAGTTTTGGGCTGCCCGCGGTTTTTTCCAAAGGGTCCTAAACAATCTCGACTCAGAGCTCTTCTCAAAACGAGCACGGTGACCCCTACTTTTAATTACTTTTTTGTCATCTTATTGACTTGGTTCATCAGTGTACCAAGTTTTATCTACAATCTACGTTAGGTTCTTTCACTAAGGAATCACCTTAAACAAGAGAGAATGAGCTTCTCTCTTGCCTTAGCCAACTATCTCCCATCCACTCTGCATTAATGTCCAATTTGCATTTTTGTCATTTTTAGTTTTGGTTAATTTAAGACAACGGGGCAAATGCTGATCTAAATCTATATCGGCTTTAAACAAGTACTAGGCCTATTTCACCGATTAAAGTCGCTGATAACTCCATGGGATGAGCAAAAAAAAGTAGAGGTTTTTACTTTGGGGTAAATGAATCTTGCAACCGGTTTATAGAGATATCCTTTGTTTAATAATTTTCAGATCTTTTGTACCTTAATCGACAGTGTATCATCCTCTTAAGTGGCCTTGGGGTTTCGGATGATACATTTATAGCTCTGCAAGACAAAATGCTTCGCAGCCTTGCTCTGATGTTACTTTTTGAAATGGTGGCCTTGGACACCCTCCGTCACGTAAACATCCCTGGTGGCATAAAAGTGACAGCGTTGTCGCGTAGTGGCGTGAAGTTCACACGGGAACCGTTCTTTCGCTCTCTCCTATTGGCGATATACAAGAGTCGACTGGGAGACTTGTTACGAAGAGCCCGGATTGCCATCCCAGAAACCCACGGGCGACTATTAATGGGCGTCATAGATGAAACGGGATTTCTACAGTATGGGCAGGTTTTTGTTCGTTACTCAAAGCTGGTCAGTGAGCCAGGAAAAGAATTAACAACTCTAAAAGGCAGAGTTGTGATAAGTAAAAACCCTTGCTTTCATCCAGGTAAAATTTATTTTGAAGTTAATTCTTACGAACAGCTTATTCAAGGTCCTTTCCATTATGTTTCGAAAAACCAGAATATGATTCACACGAGAACATCGCATGAGAGTCAAAGCCGCAAAAGTTAGATCTGGCCGGCGAGACCAATCATCTTGAAAATGAAATGGGTTTATTGCATGCGGGTTTTCGCTAAGAGGGCTGCTGGGCATAGTATTTGAGAACAGACTAATCTGGTCAAACAGATCTGTTTAAGAGCGGAATTCTCTTAGTTCACAAATGGGAAGGTCTGGCCTGCCAGTTCTGAGTTATGCCAATCCCTTATTTCCATTTTTTTTGGTTCTACAGTGAAGTAATACAGCAAGTCGAACTGTCGAACTTGCGCTTGAGTGATTATTGCTAATAAAAGTTTGACATTTAGGTAAACTCTACACGAGACTGCCATTCAAAAATAGAAGTTTCAGTGGTAAGCTGTCTGTAAGCAATTCTTCTACGAGAGGATTTGCACAAGACCAAGAAAGTATTATAAGACAGGGAGGGCGATTTCCGGCCCCTTTGCTTGGAAATGTGAAAAGTTATTGGCGGATTGGGAATAATTGGTCAACAATTAGCAGAAAAGTATGAAAAATTTAGCTACGACTTCACTCTTTTGGTCCTATTAATTTTCTCCTTCTCAAGGCCAGGATCCGGATCCCCAGTACGTTATACACAACTGTAAAACAAAAATAGTAAAAGTACTTAAACTGAAATGGACTAATTTGTAGTTATACTGGATACAATCAAGCCTTTGAGTTAAAGCCAGGTTGGAGTGACTTTGTTTAAGATAGAACGCTCTGTGCCATTCCTTTGAATAAGAACATGATTTGCATATTAGTTGTAGGGTTTCTATGAAATGTAGGTCATCTTCAGTCTGGCTTCAATGAATGGAAGACTAAGACACCAATACGTTTTACTTATTTACTTAAAACACAGCCTTTTTTGGACGTTTTCTTCTCTGTGCTATATTTCACCCATTTCTCTTTTGAATCCAACGTTACTGCTACAGTCATATGCAACAATCAGTGTAATCATTCCATTTTGTCTTGTTTGCTTGTTATTTTTTTTTTTTTGCTTCTNAGTTTGTATCTGATTACATAAAAAATGATCAACTTGGGATCATTGCGAACGCACATTTGGTTCACGCTGATCATGATGACGAAGGTAAGTAAAAAACCTCAGTGAAAGGGTTAAGCAGTATGCGGTTAATTGCAGCGTAAAGTAAACGATCACCCTAAAAACTATCCAATACTCTATCTATCTATCTATCTATCTATCTATCTATCTATCTATCTATCTATTTATCTATCTATCTATCTATCTATCTGTCTGTCTGTCTGTCTGTCTGTCTGTCTGTCTGTCTATCTATCTATCTATCTACTCATTGCTATTATTAACTTATTTCCTCTTCCCTCATCAAGGAATATTTTCCAGTGAGTGTATCAAGTTGGCTCATATGCACTCTGACGCAGTAGATTTTCCAAAGACAGGCAAGTGTCCATCACTTCCCCGAGAACTAAGACCTGATCAGTATCCGGACTTTATGATGAAGGCCGGCAAACCGCGATACAAGTAAGTGAATCAACATTTTGTAAATAGGTTATATTTCGTTTAACGCCATATTTCATAAGGTTGTATAAAGCTAGTCTACCAAGCTATACTATCCCGTAGCATGTCCTACTACATCATCCACTCTAATGGCTTTATCCTAAACGCCATGGATAAAAAGAAACTTACTGCCTCCGTCGTTTTAGACATGAGCAAAGCTTTCGACAGTCTCAACCATGAACTACTAATAGAGAAACTACGGCATATAGGTTTATCCAGCCAGGCGATTTTACAAATGTATGGTTCCTGAGCTATCTTTCATCTAGATATCAAACAGTACGTATCAATAAAAGTTTTTTTGACTTTCTAACTGTGACGACTTAAGTACCACAAGGATCCATCTTGGGACCCCTGCTTTTCAGTGTATATGTTAATGATCTTCCTCATCCATTAAAGAAATGTGAAGTAGACTCTTATGTAGACGACACAAAAATGTACTTGTTCTTTAATATTAAAAATAAGGACACATCGGTCACGGACCTGCAATAAGATTTAATCTCGATACGTAATTGGGGTTTTAACAACTCACTCCTAATTAACCCTGACAAGACTAATCTGATCGTCTTTAGAACAAAGCAGATGCTATCTCGTTTAGACGACTTCAAGTTATCGCTTCTTGGCAAGGAGGTGACTCCATGTGACTCCGTACGTGATATTGGAATTTATGTGGATTCTCAGTTGTCCTATGACGAACATATTTTAAAGACAGTGTCTTCCTGCGTATCTCGTCTTTGTCAAATAAATAGGGTTAAACACGTATTCGATCAAAAGACACTCAAATTTGAAATTAATACATTAGTTTTCAGCAGGTTATTTTATTATTATTCTGTTTGGTCTAATACTGCCAAGAAGAATGTAAATAAATCACAATTAGTACAAATTTTTGCAGCGCGTATATCGTTGTGTAAGTACGGTCATGTAACACCTATACTTAAATCGTGAAATTAGTTACCCGTCAAAGACCAATGATACTTTAGAGATGCTGGATTAGTTTTTAAATAAATGTCGGGACTAGTGATCAATAAATAACACGTAGTATTGTAAGTAACCGGAAAACAAAAAATTCGCTTATGCTATTCTATGCTATTTATTTCTGGGCAGAAAACATTCCACTATAGGATAGTCAACATTTGGAATAATTTAGACAACAATATTAAGTTAATCATTGATGTTTATAGTTTTAGGAATAAGCTTAGAGGGACGCTTTTAAACAAATTTAAGAGGGAGAGTTATGAACGTGCGACGGAATGATTATGATAATGATTAATGATTTCAATTCCGAGTAACTGTTAAGGGGGTTGGGTTTAAGAGGGAGAATTGTTATATATATGGGAGGGAATGATATTTTAAATAATTTGTGATTTTTAAATAACATGCATGTACTGTCAATCTTTTTACTTTATTGTATGTTTGAATTCGACCTTTATTTTTGTAGTTGACGCTGAAAAGGCCCAAAGGGGAAGTGTTCAATAAAGCATGTATATGCATGTATACACTGAAAAAGCGTATTTTATCTGGGTTTATTTGATTTTTTTTTTACTTAATTATCCCCTACCATTATTAGGCTTTTCAGGGATCGATACTGAAAAAAAAAAAAAAAATTCCGATGGAACAAACCGGTACTAGTTGATTATTTACAAGCGTGACTGAGGAATTGAACTCGGCAGCGGACAGACAGGCACTAACGGAGTACAAGATAGTCCAGCGCTCTAACTGCTCAGCCAAGCTGCCTTCTGGTTTATCTTCTGTTCATTTATGAAGTCAAAACCTAGTTGGAAAAATTACATGTAATCTTTCATGTTTCGACAAGATCAAAATATAGAAAATTTGCTCTAAGCTTGTTTTCTTGGGAATATTTTTTGTTGTTGTCATTTGTTATGTCATGTCATGAGTTTGTTTTGTTCTTGTTTCAGTTCTCAAAGAATACTGGGAAAGCTTTTTCGTAAATGTCAATCCCTCGATCGTGCCCAGCGCTTCTCGGTTGACGCGTCTCAGTCCAAGATCACACCTGATGAGGACATGATCGTGTCAGGGTACGAGGAGTACCTTGAAGAAGCCAGAACTTTCCGAAATCTCTACAACACAAAGTTGGAAGGTCTTATGTCCTTGTATGGCTTGAAAAATGAAGGAGAAGTGATTACAGGGTGCCTCGTTAAAGTCAATACTCGACTTTCTGCCAAAACAGATGAGAAGTTTGAAGTGGCTCAGATGATACTAGCAAGTCTTGCTACTCTTCGTGCCAACACTCGGCGCGATTTCTATGATGAATTTGGAGGTGAAGAAGCTGTAATGGAGGAGTTTGAGGACAACGGCAAATTTAGCAATGACGTTATGAAGAAGGCGTCAGCGTGGTACATGGTAACGTACGGAGAGGAGGACGAGGAAGAAGCCACAAACACTGACGTTAAGGCATCGACCAGTGATATCAGAGGAAATCATCAAACCAGCGAACAAAGAAATAAGGTCACGTTAATCAGCTTCCCTTGGATCGTGGACCGAATCCTGGCTAAGATCAAGGACACCAAGCAGAAAGAAAGAAAAGCTAAAGGCATCCAACAGCAGCATACACTAAATGCAGTCAGTGACCTTGTCACGGACCAAGCAGCTTACTTTTTTGACGGTTTGAAATCAAATGTGTCAGACGACCGAAACATGCGAATTGAGGAGAAAGACAAATTGCAAAGGATGCTAAACCAGGCTTTGGCGGGAGGACCCGTGCCACGAATTTCCTTGTGCGGCGAGTCTCTGACGAGTATCTCTTCAGGAGACGATCGACAAGACCAGCAGCACATTGAAATCTATTTACACGGTCGTGGGTGGAACGCCACGAGGGAAGAACAGTTTAACTACCTACGGAGTTTAGAGAGAGCACTAAAGCGACACGGTGACGCACATCTACAACAGGGATACCCTCCCATGTTACGTTTTCAACGGTCACAAGGTAAGAACGTTTTCTAAATCATGGCGTTGTTATTGAGTATTCTTTACTACACTTGTCTGTAACAGACAGCTGACCAAATTAATAGGCGTCGACACAGCAAGGAGGTGACGCCAATGAGAAAGAAGCCCGGCATTTCTTTCATTTTCGACTCACGCCACTCTCCGATCGAACTACTTCGTAAAACTTTTAAAATAGTTTTTGTGAAAGGGACAAAAAGGGATAAAAAAAATTCAATTCCTTCTTGTCCTTTGGGCAGGCAGTTGTCACATTTTGCATGCCCGCGGTCACTTCGTCCGTCTCCAAGCCCTACCAGAACAAACAAACGGAATGTAATAAAATTAAATGAAAGCTTATTTTTCTTTGCGCAGGTTTATTAAGGCAGCAATATTTAATCACCATGGACACAAACAGAATGTTGAAAAGTGCGTACATCGCTCTTCATGTTCAGCGGTGTCCTCGTCTTTTCCATCTTCTCTTGGTCGTCATGCACTGGGGCCGCCGCCGACGCCTCAATGGCAGCTCCAGAGGTTGCTTCCTGTCAGATGAGAGTTTAGCCACCCTCTTTATCACCTTCTGTGAAAAATCTGGATTTATCAATGAGGTACAATTTGCTGTGTAAGATCCTTGAAAGAGCGCTAAGTCGTCCTACACTTTTTCGTGACATTTCTGGTAAAGATTACCAAGCCTTCCCAACAACAAAATATCACTAATCATGACAATTGCTAAACTATCTAGTTAAGTCTGTCTGCGAGCCAACGCCGAAATCCTTCTTCTGAGCCGTACGCGCCATGATTAGCATGTTAAAAAACCATTGTTGATGATTTGAAGTGAAATTCGAAACGCACTTCCAGTAATTCGTTGAGAGATCTCCAGACGCTTCTAAGCAGACGTTGCCAGCCGGGGCTATGGGCTGTTTATATGATACCGGAATGACTTTCATTCCGGAATGAGTTCCGTTCCAGAGTGAAGTTCGTACTGCATTCACACGTTAAAATCGAACGGCTCAGCCTAAGGCGTTCTGGTTCGCTTGGTTTTCGCGCCAAATCAGATACCCATTCGCCACTCGCCCCAGACTACAAGATTTGCGATTTTCAATTTCGGAACGAAGTTTTACCAGAATGAAATTTCGTACCAATACGAGAATTTCATTCGGAATGAAAACAGGAGTGAACTCATTTCGGAACGACTTGTACGGGAACAAATGTTCGTCTCGGTATCATGTTAACACTATGCAAATAAATACATGGAGATGGAATGAACTCATCCGGGAATGGAAGTCATTCCAGTATGATGTAAACAGTAGTCCCTTAGATTATATCTGCGAGTCGGTCTTAATGATTGTTTCATGCATAAGTGCTGATCATAAATAGGCCTTATTCTTCATCTGCCTCCCACATTTCACGTTGTATTTGGAATTTTGCTTGCAGCTTAAAAAAGACGAACTTCAGCCGTTCATTTCTAGTCTTCTCGAATCGTCCACACAAACTGCAACCGAAAATCTGTGGAACGCTGAGGTACTCGGGGAAGGTGATCTTGGACAGCTGAAGGGCTTTAAAGATGACGTAACTCCAGGTGACGCATTGATTAAGTTCTTTGAACATTACAGCACGTTGGCCGACGATGACCGCCTTCATATACGTCACATTAAGAATCCAGTGACAGGCAGCGAGGAAATTTGCCCAAACGTGTCACAAGAAGAAAGCGGTCGCTTCTCTGACGCAGCCCTCCATGCCTTTCACGAGCTGGCGCAGTGTTGTGGTCTGGATAGTCTAACTGCGTCAAATAACACAGAGAGTACTCGAGAGCTCAAAGAAACGCTACAGATGCCAAACACAACCTGGGGCGCACTTCGATTTGCTGAAGCCTTTGTTCAAATAAAATTGTCTAGGAGGACGTCATCGCTAATAACAATTCGGCCTGGTAATGATTCTTATTGAATTGTTTGTTTGTTTATTTGTCTGAGTTTTTGATAGGGAATGAATGGGGAAGGAGAGGGGGATACTCTACACTTAAGTTTCGATATTCTACTTCTCACAGGTAAGCTTTATTAGAGATAACTTCCTTTACTTCTAATTTCACTTTATCAATCCAACACGATCTGGTACACCCAAACAAATTAACAGTCATGAATTGAGGTTAGTACGGATCGCTGAAGAAATCTTGCACCATTTACAACTTTAAGTCAACGCAACAACGGAATTAGAGCTGAATACGATATCAAAACTGGTTGACAGAACAGAAAACACTAACGCGCCTTGATTTCTACATGCAGTTATTTGCATTTTTCTCGATGCTTTGTTTCTGAATCAATTCATTCATTCACACGTTAGTAGGACCGATTCATTTCGTAAGTTTAATTGCACGTTTGGGTGCAATAATCATATCTTTTCCTTCCTTTTTAGCGCAGAGATCCGCTGGGTACATCCTAGAGGCAACAGGGAATTACCTCACCCTGCACGGTGTACAGAATGAACTGGAGAAGCTGGAAACCACCTGTCAGTCATACATCTATGACCACACCGTCAGTGGCGGGACGCGTTTCCTGTTTTTAAACCAAAGTAGTCAGGAACAGCGTGTAACCTTCAAGAAGTTAAATAGAGACTTTGCAGTAAACACTGCTGAAATGGCTTTACTAAATTCTGGTGAGGACTTAGCTGCAAGAAAGTTCCAAAATGCCATTTCCTCTCAGTTGAGGGTTTACAATCGCGAATATCTGCCCTATGTTCATGGTACTGACACGCTTAGCGTCAAAGCAGAGTTTGGAAGTATTTACGTGGAAAACGTGCCCCCTGTTTCATTAATTTTAGGAAGCACTGCTGAATCCGTCGAGAGTACTTTGAGTGAAAATGCTGATCCTAAGAACCAGTCAGCTCGGGGAAGACGCAATACCCAGCTAATGAGACATAAGTTTGTGCCGTTCTCAGGAAGAGTTGCCGCAAGTTCGATTGCTTTTCTCGAGAGACTTCCCCAATCGTCCTCAGAATCATACACCGTGGGAATAAAGGCCGGGAAGAATCACACCCTCACCGTAAATTACAATGAAAATTTGGAATTCTGTGATGTAGAAATCCCTTCTATCAACTGGGTCGTTGCCGATGTCAAAGCCCCGCGCTCAAGCAACTCAAAGTCACGTGACATCGACATGCGCATCACCATCTGCTCCGAGCGTAAACTCGATGAAGAGGACGAGAAACAGGAAATTATGGCGTCGGCTAATTATACCAGGTTCAAATATGCACTTAGAAGACCTGCAAATGGCGGCAGTCAGCTTGAACTGGCACATGAATTGCAGAACAAGGTTAGTTTTGTCCGTCATGATAAAACGTCTACTTATCGCGTCCCTGACAACAACTCGATTTTCATTCAAGTGAAAGAGGTCGAAAAGTATGAGACCAAAGGACAGAGGTTACTTAACAACCCAAAGACCTTTATTGAGGAGCAAATACGGGGATCCTTCAATGGTAAAAATGAAAATGAAGCAATGAATGTTGCAAACGAAGTTTGGGAAGCGGCTAAAAAGCTCAGACAGCACATATCGATTTTAAATTAAGTGGAAGAAAACAATTCCTAAATGCTTATCATTTATTATTATTAGTAGTAGTAGTAGTAGTAGTAGTAGTAGTAGTAGTAGTAGTAGTAGTAGTAGTAGTAGTAGTAGTAAGAGCAAATTGGCGGTATTTCTCGGCCGTTCCGTTTGGAATTTGCATTTTCTTTTCTAACTTTATTGCAACGTTGGGCTTTTTACGTAATTGTTTCCAACTAATTTGCTTTAATTGGACGAAGCGTGTTAATCAGCTTCCTTAGCCAAGCTCACCTATTATTTAATAGGTCATTTGCACGATGGCGTCATTTTACTACTACGACCAGAATCCTTTTCATTTTTCCTTTCATATTTAAATTTGTAATCCCAGTGAGGTTTAAATAACAAAAGCCTTCATTTACACAAGAAAGCAAAACCCTGAAGGATTCCGGTCGTAGTAGTAAAATGATGTCATCGTGCAAATGGCCTATTGGTGCGAATCCTGGTGGCTTCGTAACAGATAAACTCGCTTGCGTGACCAGCCGGGGTTGCCTGTTCCCGAAGCCAGCAGCCTCGCTTGAGATTTTTGTTTGCATATCGTCTTTTTGCCTCGAATTGAATTATGCCCCTCGAAATCGAGGAAAGAAAACCAAAAGAACACTCGACCATCGACAAAGTGGGATGTGGAAAACTTAAACCCGACAGAAATCCTATTTCGTATAGAGCCACGTTTTGCAAGCGACGAGTATGAATGCAAGTGAAGGTAAAAAATTCCCATGAATATTTCAAGCAATTCCTGGAACTCTACGGTAATTAAAATCGGTGTTTTGGCTAAATATGTATTCAGCCAGCTCAATTGATAAATTTCTTTAGTTTTCATTAAATCTATTGATAATTTTTTTCGTAAAAGTAGTGAAAGTATGTAATATTAGCTTATGAGAGTACATTTAATTTTATAAGACATTTGACCAGCCAGAAATGCAAGTCTGTACTATTGCGAGAAGGCCACAACAGACATAATGAGAAAAGAGTGAATAAATAACTAAAAAAAAAACATTTTCGTCGATTAAAAAGTGCTTTCGACTAAGTTGCTTATAATTGTACAGTTGTCAAGTAACCGGGTGACCCAATTTCATTGCTGACTATAATCTCCAAATCGGTTGCCAAGGTCCTAAATTCTTTTAACTCTTTTAGTTTAAAAATTCAAAATGTAGCAAGTATCTCCTCCTTTTCCTGTAAAATGAAAGCATTTCTCTTAACATAGTACTATAGCATTTTTTTTTAACCTCTGCTTTGACTTTTTTCTTTTCGCTTTCCCCTTTCGTTTTGCATTTTTAGCGCAACTTATATGCTTAATACAGTCATCTAATATATCACAATATTTAGTGTAGTTCTGCCATTGATTTTGCAAGTATACTTCTGTTTATACTTCTTTATAATTGGCTGATTTAGCAACAGAACGGGAACGTCAGTTGACGACGCAAAAAGCGCGCGAAAAAGATGAAAGTGGCTTCCGGTGCCTAATTTGCCGCTCTGCCATTGGTCAAACCAGTGGTTTGATTTGCGCGCGCCGTCGTAAACTGACGTTCCCGTTCTGTCGCTAAATCAGCCTAATAATTAATTGAGGGAGCCTGTTCCTTATTAGTCATGTGGTTTCCCTTGGACTTCCTCGCCGCTGGTTTTTCTTATATTTAGAACTTCTTTCTTTGTATATTTTATGGCAAAACAATAAACTTGAACTTGAAAAAGTGTTTGAATTTAGTTAACAAAATCATTTCCGGCTTTTCTACAACGTAAAAGTTTGAAAGTGACCAACTCTGCTTCTTTTAGGTTGAAACTCAAGGTAACAACAAGAGGGTATAATAGACTCCTGGTAATAACAAAGAATAATGTATAACAATGAAATTGACCGGTGCGGGAACAATTGGTGCTCAATAAATCAGTGTTGAATTAATGGTGATAGAACTGAAACAAAGGTGCCGAATCCTAATAATAGGCTGATTTAGCAACAGGACGGGAACGTCAGTTGACGACGGGAAAGCGCGCGGAGAGGACTAAACACGACTTCCGGTGCTCAATTTACCGCTCTGCCATTGGTCAAGCCAGTTGTTTGATTTGCGCGCGCCGTCGTCAACTGACGTTCCCGTTCTGTTGCTAAATCAGCCTAATAAGACAATCTGGCCTGTAGAAGTTCGTAAATGGGCAGCTGCAGGATTTTGGTTCCACAGGGGTCAGGGGATCTATCCGAAGTGAAGAAAACTCCCTGTTTAAGAGGACATGTACACTCTGGTCCCTTAAGAGTGGGGTGCGGTACTCGACCTATATTTGGGGCGTGGTTATAGGTGAGCAGTTTAGAGGTTGACCCTCTTTAGGACAATAAAAATCCAAAAATACTTACCCTGAATTGGGCATCACTTAATTTTATCATCTTGTTTAAGACAAAGGACAAAATGCACGCCGTCTTGTTTTAATGCCATTTATTTATTTACGTCCTCTGTGTAAACTTCGGACCTGTCGGCGGCATTTTGCAATGTTTTGACCCAGTTTCAGGGACTTTTACTTGTTCCGGTTTCTTCAACTAAACAGCTTTAACCGGACCAGAACGCCCTTAAAAGCGTGAAGTCTAACTTGCTTAGAGATTAGATACGAAATAAGACACTCTAAAAACGTCGACTCTACTATGCTTGGAGATAAGATAAGAACTGAGGAGGTAATTAATTCTTAAGGAGCCTGTGTCCGCGAGTGTAAGCCATAAGGACTATGTGCGGAAGGAGAAAAACAAAAAGCTAGCTGGTCAGGTTACACAGTAACCATTGACTGCCTTTGGTACATACCATAGTCAGAAACGTTTTAAAACTGGAAAAATATTATAATCTTACAATCGGGGTAACCGAATTTGCGCCCATTCGCTAACCATTAATTATTAATTGTTATAAAAACTATGAGATTGCTTAAACGTGATTTTTTTGATGACGTTAAATTTTAGCCATGAAAGAAACACCATACCATGGACACACTTCTTCTTCTTTTGTGACGTTTCCTTGTCATGCCTTGTGTTCTATTGTTAGCCATCGACATGAAAAGAATACTATAAAGCTGCTATAAAACTACACACACACACATACATTTCTCAAACTACTACAAAAATAAACAGACTATTCCAATTTGCAGACTAGTAGATTCTAGTAGAAATGAAGTCCTGTAATCAAAGTGCGTGACAGTCAAGTACAAAGCTACCGGTAACATGTCCATGACACAGTTAAAGGTTACGTCATTGATATCTCAGGTATTTATAAAGTGCAACGCGACCTCACACCTTAATATGACCTCATGTACGGGAATCCAAGACAGTCTTGGATTCTGGATTCCACGCGGTGGATTCCAGATTCCAGGCACTTGATTCCAGTCTCTTTTAGTGGAACCTTGGATTCTGGATTTCAATCCTTAGAGGGATTCCGGATTCGAAAGCCCACGATTCCAGATTTTACAAGAAAAATTTCCCCGGGTTCCGGATTCCACAAGCAAAAATTTCACCGATACCGGAATCCGGATTCTCTTACATGGGACGATTAACAACCACTGAAGTATTTACTTGTTCCAAAGTAATCAATAGCAACGCTTTCAAGCGAAAGAATCCGTGGACCGACTCGTTCCGGAAAAGCTCTCGACTACGGGCTTTCGGCACGCCGAGATACTTATCCCCAGTTTCCACGGTCTCCGCTAGGAACGCCTGGGACCACATTTGGGGCCCACTGACGCAAAAAAGGAAACGCTTGCATTGTCTGAGTCTCGCCGCTAAAGCAAGCGAGACTAAAAATGTTAGAATAAGCTTTCAAGGTAGGAGCACACTAGGCGACAAGTTGTTGAAAACACGTCACGGCGACAAGTCGCAGCGACAAATCGTTTCGCGCGTACTCCAGAATTTTGCAAAAATCTTTGTCTCCGCAACAATATTTTGTCGCTGCAATGAGTCTTACAAAATCAAATCAGATTGAATTCGTGCAACTTGTTGCGGAGACAAAGATTCTCACGAAAAATCTCCTGATTTTCTGAATACACAAGAGCCGAATTGTCGCTGTAACGTGTCCCGCAACTTATTGCAGCAACTTATCGCCCGACCAGTACACACAGAGTGATTTGTGTCCGCGAAATGCACGTGTTGCAGTGACATGTCGCTTAGTGTGTACCGACCTTTATAGTTATGTTTTAAGTAATACAACAAACAATTTCTAAGTATATAAACTAAACAACCTATTAAGAAAACGTCTTTCATGGAAACGTCAAAAACCAAAGACAAAAAATTGATACTGAAAGTTAATTGTTCCCCGATGAAACTTGGCGGGTTTTCGTTGACCCGTTTTACGGTGACTTAAGAGCCCCCACCCCCTGAGCTAAATAGTGATAAAGGATGCATTCCTTGAGGAAAGACCTGATCAAGTTTAAAAATGGAGGATTTAAAAAAAAGGAAGAAAAAAGGAAAAGGAAAGAAAAGGGAAGGAACAGAAAATTCTTCCGTAAGCCTTTACACAAATATCACGAAAAATCGCCCCGGCAACTATCCTTATGGAAATCATCAAACCGATTTTGAATCAGTTATTTTTGGCTTGGGGAGTTTGAAAAAGTATGTAGCGGTTTGGGTTTTATGATCACACGATTCTTTTTTTCTTTTATTTTGCTTACTCTGGTCTGTTCCTTCCAAGTCTGTTATGCGCACTTGCAAATTGGCCACTGGCTATAGCTGATAGAGTGGAGAGTTCCATGGCCAGCGCAAATGAAGCAATTATTTCCGCAAATCGATAGATACGACCCTGTAAGGAGATAAAGAATGGTTTTATTTGAGCCAATTTTTTCTTTTCTCAGATTGTTCAGGCAATTCTATTTACGCTGAATTCCTATGAATTGATAGATAACCAGAAATAAAGGATTCCTACCTTTCCAAAACAGCCTATCATGTTTAGAGATTCTTTTGCGGTTGGTGTCCCTGTTCCACCTCCAACGGTTCCAATAAGAAGTACAGGGATAACAAGGCTGGCGTATATTCCAGGTTCGTATTCCTCATTTGACTCTACACCTGCTAGGAAAAGAGAGCGCGGATTAGTGACGATTTTTTTACACATTCATTAAAATGATCTACATTTTAGACTGCAATTAAAATACGCTAAGATCGCGTTTATCCCGTCAATCCTAAAGCGCGTGCAAAATTGGCGGGTATTGTGAATAAGGTCTATTGTACTCGCTATTGCCACATTTTCCAAAGTCTCTATTCGCCGATATTCACGTCGCCTGAGGCGACTTATTGTTTTAGTATAATTACATTGATGATTATTCGAGAAAATAAAATTATTGATCAATTTCCGACTCCGAAACATCAACAAAATCTGGCTGCCATTTTGAAAACTGCTAGCTTTCAATGTTATAATCACCGCGCGGTGATTATAGCGGGATGAAGCGAAGCTCCTAGCCAATCATAGCGCTCTATTTTTTTGATAATCATCAATGTAATTAAACTAAATCATGTTAACCATGTCCTACGTGAACATTTTTGTGGATTTTGTTTATCATATTGAAAGCCTTTCACCTGCAACTTTTATGTTTCTTTCCACTGTTACGTCAAAGACAGCCCAGGAACTCTCATGGACAGACGCCAAATCCTGTCCTGTGGCAGCAGAAATGCCCGCAATTGTATTACTGACACACTGATTAACACCGTACGAGCCAGATCTCTGTGCTGCCATTTGAAGAGCGTGGAAAGCCTTGTACAATGTAGATGAATCTACCTTAAATGAAAACGAAAAACACATAAATGATGATAATAGGACCTTTGCAACTATAGTCACTCACATGTGACAAAACCGCCATACTGGAGAGCAAAGAACGCACTGGAAGAAGACAAACAAGGGAAATTACCTTGTTAAATGGTGTGAGCTCTTTGTTTCTCCTGCCCAAGTGCACCCCTTGCACAGCATGGTGGTTTTGCACCACGTGAATGACTAGCTACAAAGCTAAAGGGCTTACAGTGTTAACTCAGAATATATGACTAAAAAAATCAAATGTATATACTGTGGATAAAGAGAAAGAGAACTAAACGTAAACGTAATCCTTACAGCTGAATGAACAACCATTCAAAGCGGTTGAACAAGACCATTTCGCCCGATGTAAGGAAAACCGGATTCCGATAAAATTTTTGTCTTGTGGAATCACAGATCTGGGAAATTTGAGTTGTGGAACCGGAATCCTAGGCTTTGGAATCAGGAATCCAACTAACAATCAGAATCCGGAATCCAATTTCCACTGACTCCAGAATCCAGTACCTGGAATCTGGAATCACGGCGTGGAATACAGAATCCAAGGCTCGGATAGCCTTACATGGGGCGAACCTCAAAAACCAAGCTTGACATGGAATTGAACCCTGAACTCTGTGATGACCGGACAACAACTAATATGCCACTTCCGAGTTCCAAAAACCCTCACTTTCGAAATGAGGCCAAGTGCACAACCTTTCTTGTGAAAATGAGTTTTATTTACATAAGAATGAAAAATTATTTCCATATCAAAGGCTGAGCACTTAACCTCGTTTTGATACAGAGATCTTGCACGCCTCAGTTTTGTTTTCCCAATGAAAGTCCCAGGAGAATTTGACCCTTTATCTTCTCATAAATTATGCGTAAATATGCACGTGAAAAAAGCAACATTTGAAAGTAACAGTTCTGTAGATGACCTGCACTGGGAAACCAAAACATACGAGCTAAAGAGGTCTATTTGACGATAATCGTTTTTATTAACTGATAACAATAAATTCATTAACTTCTACAGCGCCATATCTATACACACATTCAATAGAATGATAAAATTTATATATCGAGTTTATTCATCTCGTTCAGTTTGCAAAGCAGTTTTTATTGACGGAGGGACAGAATACTAGTGTACATTCCATATCCCACTCAGATTCTATAATATATACTAACTACAACGGTGAGCGACTAGTTATCCCAAACAACACCCTCTAGAGTAAAATAAATTATGCTAGGTACCTTCAAGACATTTTGCAGGACAGACTCCGTGACATAAGCTTCAGCTTGAACTTCAAGTCCACGACCTTTTATGTAATTTTTTGCTACCGCATTTTTATCGCCACTAAACTTAGTGTCAATGTAAAACTCCCTGATGTTGATATCCGGTTGCTCCTTGGCAATCTCTTCTAGAGCCCACTGACATGCGTGCCAGGTGGTTATAGTTACACCATTTTGTCCAGCGGCATCAGCAGAATCGTAAACAAATTCCATCAGCAGATTGCGACCTAACCGTAACAATAGAACGAAAGGTAGAGCTCCAACGAAAATCAAGGAGTGATCAAGTAACTACGCGACAGACCGTTTACGGTTCCAACCAAAATATCGGATTTTTTTTTCTAATACAAATCGTACAGCTACAATATTTAACGTTGTTCTGCTGTTGGAGAATGCAGCTTTTTTAGAGTGGATATCTGGGCGAGATCGCATTTATACCATGGTATAGGTTCGACGATAATGCGTTTCAAAATAAACTCATAATTGACAAAATTTTGTAGAAGCGAAACACGCCGGTTGCCGTCATTTGTCTAGAGGAAGCGTGGGACAGATAAAATTTGCCTAGTGCGGCCGGGCCCATTTAATTGTAACAGATTATTATATAACCAACGTAATTTCGTTGACCTTGTTTACGATTAAAAATAACCCAGTAATTCAACAACAAAATTTCTTGAGAATTATTATCTTGGGCGAATTCTAGTGATCGAAATTTCTAAAACATTGAAACTAACCAACAAACCAAGGTTCCAGTCCTATAAGCTTGCAGTGTTGGCTGACTTCACTGGCTTTTGACTTGAGTTCTTCGAAGTGAGAAATTAACCATGACGACAGCCCTTGTGCCTGTTGCATGGAGTCCGAAACAAAATGCGGCGTTCTCATGATTCGTCGCTGAATCACGCGTGCACTGGCTCCTCCGCACCTGCAGTAACAGAGTTTTACACAAGTCTTTAGCCAAAACCGTGTCGGTAGTACGCAAGACGTACGACATGTGCCATAAGCCAGAAAAATAACAATGTTACTAATAATAATAGCTATAGAAGTGGTGTATGACTGGTAGCATGTTCAAACACTTTGATAACGTTTTAAGCGGAGCTCCACGAGCGCGGGAGCGGAGCCCCATTGCTAAGAAAATTTGACGGTCCACACATGCTCTACATGTAAACCGATGTCAAATGTCACACTTTAAAACTAGCTAGGAGTCTAAGGCATATACTATCTGTGTTTGACTTGGTATTGGTCATTGATCCAAAAGGTCTAGATAGCAGCAATAATATAGATAGCCGCATAAACATATTAACAACTTTCTTTAATTTACCAGACATGTTTCGACGGTACACCCGTCATCTTCCGTGTTACATATTTTGAAATCGCCGCGATGTTACAAAGTTCGTTACATTTTGTTGGTAATATTGGGTACTACAAAGTTTAAATTAGTGCCGCTTAGCCACTTACAGGGAGAGAGTCAGGTTTACGTCTTTCACCTTCTGGTTGGGGTCGGCTTTCTTCCATGTTATGAACATAGATTCCTTAAGCTGCAGTACCTGCAGAGTCCAGGATCTATTTTGTACTTAGACTTTGTAAATTCGGAATCTTATGTTTGTTATAATTCTAATTTAAATAGGGGGCCACAAGTTTACTAGTTTCGGTAACTATTCTGTGCTACCCTCTTTAAATAAAGTGTATTATCATTATCATTATTATTATTATTATTATTATTATTTTATATTATCATTAACAGTAAGGTACCTGGTCATTGCTGTAGCTCCTCTGGTGGACGATGCAACAAGTGTACCTTCTGTTGTTGCAAAAGGGCATAGAATATGTTCATTTAGTACATAATCACCTTTAATGAGCAGAGGGCCACTAACACCCAAAGGAATCTTTGCTAAACCAATGAGATTTTCTATGTTCCCTGCCAGACTTTCAGTAGAATGACTGTTATGGTTATTCTGAGGATCCAGCCACTGACCAACATTGGATAAAGATTTTCCGGTGACCTTTTCAACCCATTTTCTTCGGTTATCACAGTCTTTGAGCTTGTAACTATCCCTATGTGGTACCTAAGGAACAAAAAAATGATAATAGTCAGAGAGTTAACCCTATTCAGACCAGACATTTCTTTGCTTCCTGTGACCGGGGGGGAAAGGGGGCTTCTGAGCCCCCCAAACCCCCCCCCCCCTTGTAATGCAGCCACAAAACTCACACAAAATGATGTGCAGTATTTACTTCTCACTTCCAACATCAAGACATAACTTGAATGACACAACGACGTAATTTCACGTCATCACAATTGTCAGAAAAACCTTCCTGTTACTAAACAAACTAGGCTGTAGAAGAAGTATCATCAGCTAAATCCCTTAGACTTGATCTACAGCCACCAAACCTTAAAGTGTGAATGCCATTAAACGGAT